GTAGTGAAAGATTTAGTGGAGCGAAAGATGGAAATGGTTGAAAACGTTCCATTGACCATTTGGGTAGGGACTTGGAACGTAAATGGTGGCAAAAATTTCTCTGATATTGCTTTTCGTAATCAAACAAATTTGGCAGATTGGTTATTTCCACAACATTTTCCTGGTACATGAATTTATGAATATTTTTGAAGAATAAAAGATTCTCACTGCCATTGAATTTTATTCTAGAAAGAATATAGTTGTGAGATTATATCGATATTCTGGATCGATGGATGGATGGGATAATACAAGGACTTATTTATTCACTCTCACTATTAAATTTTACAGTATTGAGTTGTTTTTTTTTTTTGTCCAGTTTACCTATCACTTGTAATTTAACCTTTAGGATTAAGCGGGGATAATTCTACTACGCCAGATATATATGTTATTGGCTTGGAAGAAATCATAGATTTGAATGCTTCAAATATAGTCAGTGCTAGGCAAGTTGTTCCTTTTTTTTTTTTTCTTATCACAAGAGGTTACCCATGTAGAAAGATGATATTTGCTATGATGATTAATTTCTGGTTCTATCTAGTAATTTAGTTGTTAACTATTATTATGGTGTTGATGTAATCATCATTTCATTAACTTATAATTCATTTAAAATCTGTTGTTGATTCTTATTGTACGAGTTATTTTTTAGTACAACAAATCAGCGTGCATGGGCGCTTGGTTTGCGTGAAGCATTATCAAAACGGAACAAATATATATTGTTAGGATGTGAACAACTTGTTGGTGTATGCATTTTTGTATTTATCAAACCTTCACTTGCTACTGCGGTGCGTGATATGTCTATAAATAGTGTTAAAACAGGTTTGCTTGTTTTTTCGCTTTTTTCGCTGCAATATTCCGTTCATTCCTTGTAAATGATTTAAAAACTAATGTAAGCTAAAGTTTCACTTGGAATTGATATGAAATGCCAGTTTTGTAGACCAGAAAGAAACTTACGTGACATGCATGTTTCTACATTTAATTGTCAAATTGAGCGATGAATTTTACAAATTTTATTTTTTTCATAGGTATGGGCGGTGCAACAGGGAATAAAGGTTCGGTGGCAATGAGTTTAACCATATATTCCACGACATTTTGTTTTGTCTGTTCACATTTCGCTGCTGGCCAAAATGAAATTCGTGATCGTAATGAGGACTATATGAACACACTTAGAAAAATTAAATTTTCTCAGGTAGTTAATTTTTTGGCTTTTCATTGGTAAAAGTGTATTTTTGTGATTTTGGATATCAGGATGGAAGAATGACAAAAGTTAAGTGGTGCAGAAATATGGCGAGGCATTTATTGTATATGTTGCAGATATTAACGTGTTGTCAGATTTAATGACGGCTTAGCTTAAATAAAAATCGCTCAATCGTTGACAAATAAGCTTTTTGCCATCCTGGAAATTATAACCGAACAAACTACTAGCACCTTATCTTGATTTATAATGGATTCAAGTTAGAAAAGGTAGTCGGAGATATCTCATATTAGCAGTCAATGTCTGAGCATGCTTATTTTATGTTGGAATTTTAGGGTCGTAGCATTTTGTCACATATTGTTGTATTCTGGCTAGGCGATTTCAATTACCGATTAGTGTTGTCACGTAATGAAGCTGAAGCAGCAATAAAATCTGGAAATATAACGGAATTGTCTCGTTATGATCAGCTTTCTCAGCAAAAAGCCTTGGGCGAGGTATGTATTTAGTATTGCTTGTTTGTAGTCAGATTTTGAATATTTCTAAAATTTTGACATTATTTATAAATGTATTTATAAATTAATAATTTGTGATTGGGATTACTTTTACAGATTTTCAAAGATTTCAAGGAGGGACCGTTAACTTTTGCCCCAACCTATAAATACGACACCTTTACTGACGATTATGACACATCAGAAAAATGTCGTGTTCCTGCCTGGACAGATCGAATTCTTTGGAGCGAAACAAACGGAGAAAAGATTGTGCATTTGTTAAAGTATTACATTTTTTGAGTTTTTTTAATTTGCTGAAATATTCTGTTATGATTTTTTTCTCACCAGAGCGTGTGTTGATTTTGTCAAAATAGTAAAACTTATTTTAGTTATGATCGGATAGAACTGAAGACTTCGGATCATAGACCGGTTTGTGCTTTATTTCGTGTCGACACCTTTAAAATCAACCTTTCACGGTTTGAATTGGTTTTCAGAGACGTGATCAGGTGTGCTTTCGCGATTTCAAAATTGATGTGTTGTTCTTAAGTGATTTTAAATATATTCATGTCTTCCTTAAATGATTTTAAATGAATTTATTTTATGTTACTTCTTTATCTTTTAACATCTAAAGACAAATTTATAGCTACGAAATTGTAAAGAATGTTTATCTTTTGACATTTGTTAGTAACTTTTCTGTTTGGGATTCTGTGTAAATAATTTTTGTAGTTCAATGGGTCCTCTGGATGGAACCGTGCTTGTATCAATGTGCAATCATGATAGTTTCCCTGTGGAACTGCGTCTTCCTGTTATCGGAAAACTTGATCAACTCGGAATATCGCCTTCCATTAGCAAGCTCGTTTTACTACTTTTCTTAACTCCGATTTAAATAATACCTTGCAGTCATAAAATAAATTTATAAGTTTGTTTCTTATAATGAAACTGAAAAGTTTTTAGAACTTGTAATTCAAATTACTTTTAGAATCGAGACTGGTATACTGTGGTTAATTTTCAATAGTTCTGATATAGCCTTGGCAGCCTTGAGTTTGGATGGAGTAAAGATAGGAAATTCTGTCTTAAGTGTTCAGTTGTTAACTCCGAATTGGGCTGAACTGGAATATGCCGAAATGAATAATGTGTTGCGAAATGTAAACGAAGATATGAACATGGAATGTATTGAACTAAGAAATGCGGATAATTTCGAGATTAATGGTAATTTTTAAATTTCAAACTTATGTTAATTGGTTCCTAACTTGTTAATCGACTAAAAATTGTGTTAAATAAAATATTGGAATAAAGTCAGCTGAGTTCTCTATTTTTAACGGAATCTCATTCAAATTGTTAAATTGTTCAGATGAGGACGATTTGTCAATGAAAGGTGGATCGAGTGATCGAATGTCTAAACTAAGATGTAATTCTCCAGTGGATCGCAGTGAAATAGATCTCTGTCAACTTAATTTGCCGAATGTGGCTCCCAGGTCGGCATCATCACCTTTATTAAATGATATGCAAATGTATCCTTCAACAAATGACCATATTGCAAATGTAAATGTTCAATCAGCACAGCAATCAGCACCATCAGTATCACTTCCAGAGCCTATTGAAGTTAGCATAACTGTATGCGCTCCGCCACCCGTACCACCGCGGAAGGAATCAGGCTGCAGATGATTTTTCCTTGCTTAAGTTATTAATAAACACAAAATTTTTGGTCAGAATCGGAAGTTTGACTGTGCAGCCATCTAATGTTATAAAAAATGAAGTGTAAATTTAGTACTTCAAATCATGTAATTTCAGTACACTTTCAGCACTTTTTTGCTTTTCGGTTTCCATGGATAAGATCAAATACTTCCTACTGATGAATGTTTCTAAAATTTCTCCGATTTATGTTTTTCTGATTCAGAAATTTCCAAGTTCAAACTATGTCACTTATTCGTATTCATATGTTTTCGCTCATGTAGTTGTAATACAATTTATTTGATTGTATGAATATCCTCTTTCTGTACAACTTATTAATTCATTAGTATTTTCTTGGTTATTTTCAACATTTTTAAAATTTTAGATATTCGAGTCCAGTGATTTCCAGGCAGTTTTAGATGATTAGATGTTGAAATAAGAAATTATTAATTAGAAAAAAAAAATATTGTAATAGCATAGAATTTGCGAAGTAAGGGTGAGTTTTGTTTTTGGTCGGCTAATCTCCAGGCACACGTGAATTTGCGCATCCATGAACTGATTGTTCTAATGGATGCTAAAATTCGATATCAGTTAAACGGATATTTGGATCAACAGTTTCAAACAGACTGATATAGTACTTCTTTGGAATTATTTGTGTTCTCTTCGAGGTCAGTAGACACTGCCTATTTGTGCTGTTTCATCGATAGGTATTTCGAGATTTTCCAGATCATGCAGTACATTATTTCAAATGTTATTCCAAGATTAATGAATTTAAATTATATTTTCTTACTAGTTATATTGTTTACCTTATCATAGATAATGCATGTATGAGTATAAAACTTTCTGTTTCACGATGATATTGATCCCGGTGATCTTAGCACATACGGAATTACGCGTATATAACTTATTGTACTAGTTAGCACTTGTGAACCAATTGTGTCAATTTTTGTATCTCATGTATTTTTAGATAGTAAAATGTATTGTTTTACTTCTCGAAGCACACTAGACAAAGTGATGACATTTAGCCATCCGTACAGATTACTTAAGTATACCGCTTGAAATGTGCACGGCATTCTGTTGAATTCTTGGTCATACTATTTGGTGGGAATGTTAGTTTCTAATAGCATATAAGTGTTTTCTTAATTTTATACATTTATTGTAGACCAGATTTTTACGAGCAGAAGTTACAGTTCCAATGAATCTTACAAGAAGAAACAAAATTGAAGGAATGACATCACTTAATATTCTTTCCTAATGAATAAATCAAAAAAACCAGTTCTTGAGATTGGTAGCAACAAAAAGTAGTAGTTAAGCTTTTCCAAGGTGCATCATCATCTTGGAAACTATAAATTTGATTTCCCGAAACAGATGACTGTTTTCAAGGTGAACGTGTGATGGAACATAAAATGAAGGAGTTAAATTGGTAGATTTCGATTAAGAGATGTCAAAAACACACAGATCTCAGAATGAGAAATAAAAACAAAGAGCAAGAAGAGAATGGAATATCTACAGGACATTACAGCATGAGATAAAAAAAGACTAGATGACAAAAATACCCAGTGATGCACATAGACTAATCAACTTTTTTAAAAAATTTATTGACTTTGAAAAATTTATAGTTTTGTTTCGTCTAAGGTTTTGTATGCGGTTGATTTAGTTCCTATAATATCAACACAAGCATTTAACGAATTTAAAGTTGATTCAGAATTGAGCGAATTAGGATATGTTGCAGATTGGAAAGATTGCGGAAACGTGTCACGTTTGACATTAGTGTAGGATGGATGAGAAGTTAATGTAGTTCGATTTATTGATCCCAAAATAAGACTAGCTGATCGTTTTTGTTGTTTTCGTGAAATTTTTTTATTGTAAGTTTTATCATCCTGAAAAATTTTAACTTGGGATTGTTATTGCTGTTTTTGCTGTTAAAATAGCATATTAGCAGTTAGTCTTGTTTCCTTTTTTTTTTTTTTTTTTTGTATTTGCAATTCCATAATTTACTTAAAAATTTTCAAAAATTTCTACACTTAGAATTAGTAGCATTAAAATTGTAGAAATATTAGCATTACCTAAAGTAATATTTATAAATGAATCCATAAAATATAAAACATAACTAGCAATTCATATCATTTAAATTTTACGTAACCTAAATTATATAAGTAATTGGATAAACATTACTTACACTATGCTTAAATGGAACTTCATCATCGTTAACGATAATTTTGTGCAAAAATTGTGATGACTTCATCATATCAATGCCTCCATCACTGCTGTTGTTAGTACTGCATGCATTTTGCTCTTTAGAAATTTTAGTCAACTGTTCTGGCCCAGATTCAATATGATTTATATATTTGGACTCGTTTTTAGCTTGTTCTAGAGGTGCTATCTAAAATATCCAATTAACATAATTTTTTTTCTTTTTTAAGTTCAAATTTTTTTAAGCTTCATTTTTTTTTTCGAATTTAGTTCTTTCATTCTCTTCATTAATTAATTCTAATTTAGATTAGAATTTTGAAAAATTTTCTCCAGTTCAGTTAAAATCCTGCTTAATTGTTCTGAACTGTTGGACAACATTTTAGAATAAACAAAAGCAATGAAATTTAACAAAAATTTTAAATGAACATACGAACTTTGTTATTTCTTTGTGACAAAAGTGTTTTTGGTGTGAGCACAGTAGTTGTTCCCTTCTCTGCTAATTGTCGGAAAGGTGAAACAATCTTTTGTGGTGAACTGGAATTTTAGATTTAAAGGAAAGAAAAAAATAAACTGAACTTGTATAAATTTCATTAGTGTAAATTAGTGCAAATTTATATTAGTTTAAAAAATAAATTAAATCATAACAAACCTTCCGGTATTTATAAGTTGTTCCACTTGTTTGAACAATTCTCCTTTAATAATTAAATCACCAAAACCTTGCTGATGAGAAAATGCATATCCTGAACGTAACGAAGTTCGACGACCTCGACCAGTTGTCGAATGTGATGTTGTCCTTCAAAAAAAAAAAAAAAAAAAAAAAAAAAAAAACAAAAGCAAAAAAATAATAGACAAATAAGGTCATATGAAATTTATTAGCAGTGAAATTAAGAAACGAATATATCACTGGATTCTGATAAAAATTTAGAAAAACTTTTTTTTTTTTTTTAATATTTTATATTTTTTATAAATCAAAAAGAGAAAAAGAGATAGCATACGTCGTTATTGATGGTGGCTTTTCGTCTTCCTCAGAGGTTAGAAGTTTCTGCTGCATTCGAAGACGATCAGCATAGGTGGGATGTGTATCCAACCAGAAAAATCGATTAACAAGTACCGGTAAGAGTAAAATAACAGATACCATTAGAAGAGAAAGCCAAAACTGTAGTGATATAAAGGCTCGTTGCATGACACCATATGATTGAGCTGATTCAAATTTTGAAACCAATTTTATAGGTAAAGCTAAAAAAAAAAAAATACCACTATAAAATATTGAAATGATTAGCTTACTGATAAAAATAATTTAGCAATTTGCTAGTTTTAAATCTGAATGAATTAAAATAAAAAATTAGGAATTCAATTAAAGATATAAATAAATAAAATTCGAATAAGCAGAAGCACTATTTTTAGAAGTCTTTACTTCTAATGTCTAAAAAAAAAAGACAAAAAAAAAATTAGACTAAAGAAATTTCCTCCTTTCTTTTTTTTTTTTTTTTTTTGAATTATCTAAAATATAGCAAAAGATAACAAACCTTCATATAAAATATAACTAAGACAAAAATAGAATATCACTGAACCCCAAATAACAATATGATTAAAAATTGTCCAATAATTTGTATCAAATGCTATTTGGCCCGTGACAACAATTATCAATGATGTGAAGCATGTAAATGCTAATAATGAATAATCATTAAAATCTCGGCCTGCTGAATCCACACCGTTGTACAATATTCCGTACGGTACAAAAAATATCACCAAAGAACTTAAAATTATTTTTAAATTAAAAGTATAAAACTTGAAAAATTTTTTAAAAAATATTTTTTTCTTTTTTTTTAAGAACAAATATATTTCCTAGTATAATAACTTCAAAATACACTGATCATTAATTTGTACTTATTAAATAATTGCAAAAATAAACTTGAAAATTTTTTATAAATGAATGAAATATAAAAGTTGAAAGTTAAAAATTATAAGAAATCTTCTTTGAACATAGAACCAAAAAAATGACTGAAATAACATACAATATTACATAAACTATATGTGTGATAAATATAAAAGATTTTGAATGTTAATGGGAAATTTTTGATCTTTATTCCTCCTTTTTTTTTCCCATACACTTTTAATTTTTATTCATTTTTGTTCATTTGGAAATTTTACTTTAATATTCACAATCATTACTCTAAATTATCGTGAAAAAATTAAAACAAATTCATGCCACAGAAATTTTTGAAAAAAAAAAAAAATTAAATACCTGATCATACCATGAAGGACAGAATATATAAAAATACGCATATTAAAAAATAAATTATATTGACCAGGTATGTAGAGTTTAGCATATTTCATGCTACATACATCATCCAAATCTTGATCAAATATACCCATTGCAAGTACAGGTAATGATGTAAAGAATAAATTATAGCAAGCAATCAAAACTGGACTGTAAATGGACTGCAAAATAATAATAATAATAGTAATGCAATAGCACTGATATAAATTATGATACAGAAAAAGAGAAGAAAAATTATTTCTTGATGGACAACAAATTCGAAATTAAAATACTAAATTTGGAATAAATTTTTATCTGAATTAAACTACTACTAAAAGTATGTTAGAATGAATAAGATAAAATTGAACTGTATATTATCGTTCTTACTATCAAATCTTTTATCTTCAGATAAAAGATAAGAATATAGTAATCCTTTAACCACAAATAATTTAAATTTCTTCAAAAAACCTAATGAATAAGTTCAAACTTTAGATTTTGCATTTAAGTTCCAACAAACAAATCATTTAAGTTTAAACTGAATTCAACATTACCTGTGCAGAATATCCACAAAAAAAAGAGTACCAAAAGTGCGTAAGTGTAAAAGCAAAATTTTTGTAGAAAAAATATCGCAAGAATTTTGTCATCCTAAAATACGACCAACGACCATGCACAAGCAGAAGCCTTTTCAAATAACGAAATTGTCCGATGCTATAGTCAGATGCTAATACAGCTTGCATACCTTCTTGTCCTAAACATTTAAGCATAAATCAATTGAAAAAAAAAAAAAAAAAAAAAAAAAAAAAAACGATTAACATTCATCAAAATTCATTTTACAATAAACAGTCATGAAAATGCTACAATTTAGCTCAAAAAAAGAAAAAAAAAGTAAGCAATAAATAGCAATCATTTATTTCCTTACTTTATATCTTTTTATTTGATTAAATTGCTTATATAAATACAGAAAAATTGAACTTTAATATGATTTATTAATTAATACTGTCATTCTAATTTGAAATACCAAATTATAGTTATGCTTTGAAAATACCTGAAATTCCAACTCCAATATGTGCCGTTTTAATCATTGACACATCATTTGCACCATCACCAACAGCTAATGTTATCGCTTTTTTGTTCCTTTTCACCAAATCAACAACCATTGCTTTTTGAAGCGGTGTTACACGACAACAAACTACTGCCTAAAAGAAAGAAAGAAAAAAAAAGAACCTATTTTATTTATTTTACCTTTTATTTTTTATTAAATTAACAAACATTTGCTTTCTTCAACATATAAATATATACGAGATATGACATAAACATAAACATAAACATGACTTTCTTGAGATGACATAAAATGAATATGAATGAAATGAAATACTTAAGAATTTAAGAACTACTTACACGACACAAGCATCCAATATCCAGAAATGTCCTTTCTAATTCTCTTTTCAAGGCATATGTTAATGATGGTCCATTAACAATCAATGCATAACCTTCTAATTTTTTCCATTCATTAGCACTAAGATGATCTTGAATTTCCATATTACTTTCTGCAACAATAACTCAATTCATATATTCATTTCAAAAAGAAATGAATCTAAATTATTCAAAAAAAAAAAATTTTTTTTCATCTGTTTCAAATGTGTTATAACTGCGCATTTTACATTTCCTATGCAATCTTATATTATCAGTGTATATTGTTATTACGTAAAATGTATTGTAAACATAAACATTACCGAAAATTAATGGAAATATTTACCATGAATGAAAGCTAAATTTTTGGTGCCATCAGATTGTAGATTACCATTAGCTGTGATAGCATCATTGATGTACTGCGAAGTAAGTTTACCATCATCTAATAAGGCATCCTGAAATTTTTTATAACTTGATGAACTTAATGTAATTTTAATTCAATATGATTTTAGCAGCAAAATTAGTGGTTAATAGCATGGCATTATAAATGGAAAATCAGTAAAGAAAAGTGATAACAGAAAATGGTATATGAATTCCTGAAATTCGTCCCTTTTTTTCTTCTCTCTCTCTCTCTCCATCTTTCTTTATTTTTCATTTTTCCAGCGAGAAATTAAGCCATCAGTAATTAACATGAATGGTAAGAATATCATAAATTTAAGGAAACGATGAAGAAAAAAAAAAAAACGAATCATATATAGTCATATTTTTAATAAAAATAATTTATTGCGTTATTAATTCCTGAAACTTTTATAATAATGAGTTCATTTATAATTATTTCTTTTTCTTTTTTTTCTTTATTTAAGAGCTAGCTTTTGTCAAAATTTTTGCTAAGCTAAATTATATTTAGTGAATGAAAACTGACAATTCAATCGCTTATTCATTTGTATTAGAATCATCTATTATATCATATTATTATTGCATCAATGATTTACTAATAATCATAATTAAAAGAGAATATGTATAAATTATTTATGAAATAAAAACGGATCAATGTGAGAAAATGAAAAGGAATGTAAGGAAAAGAGAAAGATGGAACCGTGTCAATTACAAAATTAATAAAATGCAGGATGCATGCATAATTGACATGAAATACAATTTCTAATTTTATAGAATCAAAAGCTGTTAAAAAGAAAAATAATGATCGAAAAGCTAGATATAATCAGGTTAATCAGTAAAGTGATTAGTGAGCTTAAAAATGATTTAAATCCGCAGAAATTGATAAATGACAAAATAGGTTGACAAAGCAATGTGTGAGTTGCCATATATATATATATATATATATATATATATATATATATATATATATATATATGCTTTGTTACCTACTCGCACCTCTTTGACATTTATCAGAACTTCTTCCAATGGCGCATTTTGATAAACCGAACAGTCATAATCATTCCTGACGTACAAAGAATCGGTTTTGTAAAAGGGCTCATCCTGTTTACATTCACTCTTTTCAGCCTTTTCCACTTCGGTTATTATTTGTTGAATATATTTCATAACAGCACTTGTTTTCATAGTCGACGGCTTCAAAATTTAACAAAACCATTTTTATTCCGGAATCTTTTCTTTTTCTTTCTCTCTCTTCCAATGGAATAGCAAAATCATTACTACCAATCAATTGGTACATATGAGATAATTTTGATCATACTATCTATTTCATTTATAATGTAATCATTTCTGAGAATAATCTCAGAAAATTTTTATTCGGAATTTAATTCATGTGGTATTGCATGCATCTGTAATTCTTTCATTATTTTCATGATTAAGAAGAAACAAAAGTTGAAAGATCAACAGAAGGAATTGTACTATTAGTGTAAATGGAAATATTTACCGGGCCAAGCGTTTGTTCGATTCGTCTTCGTACATCTTTCAACTGAACTTCAACTTCACGTTCCGTCTCACCATCGATTACGAATACTTCTCGAAGATTTTCAGTTAGCAAATTGCATGAATAACCAATATTGATTGCTGTTTCCTGAAATACATCAAGAAATATTTGTTTCTTTCCAGCATTCATAATATTAATTTAAAAATGATGATTAAAATTATCTCACTTGTTTATCACCCGTTAAAATCCAAATTTTGATGTTAGCACGAGCAAGTTCCGCTATTGTATCCGGAACACCATCCTGAAGCTTATCTTCAATTGCTGTAGCTCCCAAAAGTATCATCTCTTGTTCTAGTTCATCATAAATTCGATCTAATTGTTCTTGACGATTTGTCAATGCAACTGCTGCTTCTTTTTGCTGCTCCTACAATAATAACGATTATAACAATGTCTTATATAAATCAAAACAATAATTATTTATAGAAAAAAAAAAAAACATCCCTATACTATTTTTCGAAATTTCCTAAATAATTAACAACATTAATTGATACAAATACAAAACATACATGCCATTTATTAAAAACATCAGTGCTAATTTTCTTATATGCTAAACATAATGTTCGAAAGCCATCAGCAGCAAATTTATCGAGATGTTGAATTGTTGCACTTTTAAGTAACGGTGCCGTATCATGTGATATCCTGAATGCTGAACAATTCAGTATATCAGTGTACTTAATATCAATTATTAATAGTATAAATTAGTAGTATTGAAATCATTAGAAATAAAAAAATTAATTATAATTAAGAATTAAACACCTGTCAAGTATAATTGTATCTGCTCCTTTGCAATAAAGTATTAATTCACCCAAAGGATTACGAACAATTACTGACATTCGCTTCCTGACATTATTGAAATCAAGAATTGCCAATAAATCATATACCTTAAAAAAAAAAAAAAAAAAAAAAAAAAAAAATCCTTTTAATTATGCTAATTAGTAGTAGTAGTAATAGCAGTAGTATATGGCAAATTTTTGAAAATAATTTCGTAAATATTTTGAAAAAGACCTCTTCCGAACCGGCTATTTCCAGTGTAATAGTTTGAGCAGTACGAGATTTAAAAACGTATCCAAAATTTCGTGCAGCAGATGTAAGAGCAGCTTCATCCGGACTTTGTGCCTGATATTCTAAGCGACCATTCTTCCGTTCCGGCATAGAAGTATGACAAAGAGCCAAAAGTCGCCAAAATTCTGCCACCTTAACAATATGTTAATTATGGCAGAATAATTCATGGAAAATTAATCCAAGCAATTTATGAAGAAGCATACTATAAAAAATCGCATAATTTGAAAAATTTTAATTGTAAGAAAAAAAAAAAGAGGAAAACTTATTACTTCGTGAAGTCCTTTGGTTGTATCTTTCATTAATTTTTGGTCATAAAACTTGAAATTCGGTTCAAACCAACGGTTTTTCGAGAAATCAATCGTCGGCGTCTTCTTTAAATAGCAAATGCTTCATGCAAACGAATGTTTTAACTGTTTTAAAAAAAATTTAATTTTATAAAAAAAAGTTTGAATCAAACATATATCATATATATATATATATAATTATATTACTGATAATACACTCTAATATTCTACAAAAAACGATTTTTTTTTTTTTAATTTATACAAATTCGTCATCACATGACGGAAAAAAGTTGGATCTAAATTTGCTGGTGCATTTAAAAAAATGAGTGATAATATTTTACCTCAGATTCCTTATTAAATAATTTAAAATAGACTAATAGTCAACACTTAATAAAAAAACAATAGTAACAATAACGAAAATAATAATGATAATAAGAGTAACAAACTAATTAATTAATTAAATGTATGAAAATAAATAGATTATTAAATGAATTAATTAATTAATTAATTAAGCAAATAAATAACAAGTGAATAAAACAAATAAATAGACTATTTAATTAAATAGAAGTAAATAAATAGATAATTAAATAACCAAATTGATTAATTAATTAGTTAATTGAATAAATGAACAAATAAATAAATAATAAATAATTAAAGTAAATTTCATAAATCAAACCTCTGTTACATCAATTATTTTACCATTTGCATCATATACATCGCCATAGCTATGTCCATTAATTGAACATTTCCTAAATACCATTGTATTTTGTGTAAGAGTTCCTGTTTTATCGCTAAATATATATTGAACTTGACCTAATTCTTCATTCAATGTCGTAGTACGTGCACGTGCGGCAGTATCACCCTGAAAAAAAGAAAAAAAAAAAGAAACTAAAATGTTAAAAATTTGAAATTATAATTGGATATTTAATAAATAACAAAAACTACAAACTATCATTTCAACAAGAAGAAATAAAAATACCTTTTCGTAATACATTTCAGTATCAAAATTAATCCACATCGAATGAACAAATCGTATTATTTCAACACTGCAATATTTTTGAAATCAAAAGATTAGATAGCTTCTCAAATTTAGTTAATTTTTTTTTTTTAAATATTAAACATTATAAATTAATCAAATTAGATAAAATAGTGATTGTTAATAAATTAAATCATCCAATGAATCACTAACAATAAAATAATGAAGCGAAATAGTATGCAATAATTTTTGTATATAAACTGTTGTTTTTTACAATTTGTTAATTTTTGGATAATTCATCGAATAATGAAAATAGCTAAAATAGAATAAATTTAAAAAAAAAAAAAAAAAAAATAGCAAAATTTACCTTACATAAAGTGAAATAGGCACAACAGTATTGAGCAAGATAAGATATGAGAAGAACATGAGAAATGATAAAATGGATGTTTGTTCTGGTGATTGTTCCATATGATCTGGAATGACTGAGCCATCCAAATTTAAATGAATAGTAAAATGGCGTTCAATAGTCCATTCTCGAATTCCACATAATGTTGTACAAATGAGACACATTGCTATTAAAAATACGACTATCTAAAAATAGTTGATCTAAATTGATTAAAACATAATTATTTGATAAATAATCCTATTTTAAAATAAATGCAACAATTTTGTTGCATTTATAAAGATTATGCATTTCTTCAAATAATTTCATTTATCTTATTAAGATCAACTTACACCCATAATTAAAATATTGAGGAAGTGATCCAAACTTGTTCGTTTACATTTTGTTTTCCCACTATTCATCATTAATTTGGTATCTTTTCCTAAAAATTATAAAATTCTTATATTCATGTAATTAAAATATTTACAATTTTTTCTCATTCCAAAATTAATTATTATTAATTTATTAAATAGGGCAAATTTTGTATGAAAATAACCTGCAAATATTACCACTCCATAGCACCAGCGAGTATTCCGTAATACACAACCTCTTAATAAAGTTTTCCCATTGTCAAGTGGTAAAATATTGCCATTATAATGTAATCTTCCCTCAAACTGATTCAATTTATTATTTGGTAATTCACAATGAATTTGTCCTGAAAGAACAAATATTATTTTAAAAAGAAATTGCCATGAAACGAAAAGTTATTTTAAAAGAAATATATATATATTTATTCTAATTTTAACCAAATAGTTAAGTTATTCTAGTAATATGTGAAAATTTGTCTTAGCAGATTATATTTTAAAAACTATCAAAATCAAAAAAATTGACCTTCAAATTCACTTATTTGCAGTAATTTATCTCCCATAATGGATGTTTCTGGTAAAGCTTGGCGAACTTTTAAATTCGTTTCACCATCAAGTTCTGATGTCTCGATATAACATAAGCCATGAGGTTCAGAGGTTGATAGTAAAAGTAAATCAGCCTGAACAAATTTTGAAGCATTTATAATTTGCACTTTTTTTTTTTTAAAGAAGTGAAACAATTACATCTATTATCTATCTACTTTATAAAAAAATTCCTAACGAACCTGAAATACATTTATCTTACTGGAATCGTTCCAATTTTGTTATCTTAAAATGATCTTATTCATTTTATTAATTCATATCAAAAATCTAATTTCCAAATAATTTATTATTTTTTGAACAAATAAGTGCCATTAATTTATTATTTTAATCAAAATAAAAAAAAGATGAAAGAAAAAAGAAACACTATATATACCGCAACAAACTGATCATTTTCCATGCGTATTACATCACCAACTTTAACATTCATCCATCTTTCTGCAATTAATTGCCCATTCCGAACAACATATGAAATACGATTATTTACTTGATTATCGCTTTGATGTCTTTGCTAAAAGATCAATGATAATGATGATAATGGTTAATAATAGTAATAATAACAAATATTTAATAGCAATAGCGATCATAATAATAAAAAATAACAAAGTAGTAATTAATAACTAATAACAAAAAAACTATTTTTATAATTGATTTTTTATTCTTTTTTTCCTTTCTAAAGTAAAAATCAGGAATATATTGCAAATTGAATAGCTAACAATATCATCATAGGCATCTTTGGCACCACTGAATATAAGCACAAAAAATAATGGAATGGCAGTTGAGTACCATGCTATTGAGCTAATCCATGGTATAAGCTATAATGAAAATTTTTAGCAGTGCTAAGATTAAACTAATTAATGTATATTACCATTTTTGATTTGCATCAAGTAATAATATTATCCAAAAAAAATAATTAATAAATTAAGTGTAATGAGCAAAAACTAAAATTAGGAGTAAAAAAAAAAAAGCAAAGAAATAAAAAAAAAAAACAGAAAAATAACTGAAAGTGTTAATTAACATACTTGCAAAATCATTAATATTAAAAAATAAAAATTGGCAAGACGTTGAAACTGTTCCAATAAATTAAGCGGAACAAATGTTATGAGATTGTATTTTGAGGTTCTAATATAATTATCCTGAAAAAATAAGAAAAAAAAAAGAAAATATAGAAATCCGGAAAATACATAATAACAGTATAGTTCTAAAAAATATAATAATCTCAGAACGAAAAAAAAAATATAACAACATCAGAAAAAAAAAACGCACTGATAAATTTATCAGTGTGTTTTTTTTTTTTTTTTTTTTTTTTTTTTTTAATACAAATTTTTTAATGAGAAAAAAAAAAAGTAAAAATAAAAATTTCTTATAAATCCTTTAAAAAAAAAAAGAAAAAACATAGAGTAAATTCTAACAGCATATTTGAATTGTTCATTAAATTCACGATCATTTGCTCGTAAAATACGTTCCGTAACAGGTGTCGTAAATTGATTACTTCCTCTTTGATCATGTTTTCTTCCTGAATTTGCTGAACTACGGCATGTGAATAATTTGGTTAAAGACATCAACCAGCTGTTTAAAAACGATCCACTGGACGATTTTACTGTTATGTTTGGCTGTTTCTTCGACAGATACTCTGAATTGTCGCTCATCATAATCAGTGCTATCACTAACACTGGTTCCAACAATAACAACAACAACAATAACAATATCCACGTTGCTCCTTGCATTCTAAAATGCGAAAAAAAGAAGGAAAATGAAAATTTTAAACGAATTATTTATATATATTGGATAGGAAAATGAAATGTGGAATAAATAATTTAATAATTTAGAAAACTTTCAAATACTACCATAGATAATTGCTGTAAAATAGTGAATTAATTAATTCATTAATTAACTACATTAAATTCGAATTAAAAAAAAAATAAAGAATTTGCTAGAAATTTGTCAAAAAAAGTTTTGTTTACAAAATCAATAAATTAATGATAAAGCAACTAGTGTATAGCATTACCGTTTGTCGTAGTTAATAATATGATGGTACCGAATTGACAGCAATTTTGTCGTCTGCCAACCCGCCCGCCAACCACGTGTCAATCACTTCACTTCTTGATTAAACACACTGGAAAACAAAAGTGAAAAAAAAAAGTCAATTAATACAGTAATTCGTAAAACGAAAGGGAAATTAAAATAAAATATAAAAACAAAAATCATTTTTTTTTTCAAAAAAAAAAAAAGAAAAATATGAACAAAATAGGAGATTAAAAAGAATCATGAAGTAAAGACTGTTGACACTTTTATACGAAATGATAAACAAATATGGTCAATTTAATTAAATTACTTTTGCATAGACAGATTTGAGATTTATAACTCAGCAAAGTGCTAAATTATTTTAAAATGCTTCACATCTATAATTAAATACCGCATGCAGTTCAATTATTGATAAGTAATTGATAAGTGATCAAAGAAAAAATATGTAGTAATCAATCTTAGAAATGGACTACACAAGATTTAAAAGCTAGGAGCAAAAGAAAAAAAATTTCATGTAATTAAGGGATATAAAAGAATGAAATTGAAAATTAACGGAAAAAAAGGACATAGTAAAAAGTTTTGTAATTAAAAAATCTGCATGAATGGTTTTCAAGATCTGTCATTTCTTTTTTTTTTAATGACGTTTAGAGATTTATTTAAAATTCATTAAATTTTTTCTGCTTTTTATTAATATTTATATTATTTCAAACCGTATATTCAAATATGATAACATTAACATTGCTTTTCACTACCCATTTTTGCAATAATAACAGATATTTATACAATTATTTAAATTAAATTTGGAGGAAAAGATTTTTGCACATTTATCTAATTTTTACTAATTATTTATTTAACTTGTTAATTATTCTTGCTAAATTCATTATCTTTAACGAAAACGAATTGAAATATTTGCAAATGTGCAAAAATTCCAGTTAAATAATCAATAAAAATGCAGCAATTTTAGATTTTAGTAGACAATACAGAATCTATGAAAGTATTCAGAACTATTTTAATGCGCAGTCACAGCAAAGACAGGACAACATGACACTACGACAAATTATTTGATAACAATGAATTTGTTGAATGTCGAGCGAAGAAGATGAAAACTGTTAACTAATAAGCAAAAGAGAAATAGAGGAAGCGATAAAGGACGGAAAACAAACGTAAAAACAAAATCACCGGTAAAATTGAGCAGTTAAAAATTAAGGATTCAAAAATTTAAAAGTAACTGATAAGTATTCTTGTACCTTTCATTATCGGTATATTATATTATACCTACAAAAAACGGTTGTTAAGTAAAGCAGATGAAATAGAGTACAAAAGAAACGCGAACAAATGAAATGAAGAAGCAAAAATAACGCATATAACAAATACAACATAATGCTATAATTGTAAGGAAGAAAAGTGACAAAAAAAAAAAAAAGAAAATAAATGTAATTTTATTGCTAAAAATTTTTAATTTTAACTTTGTTTATTATTAAGAAATAATAAATATAAAATTTGATGTGTAATGAAAAGTCATAATTGAAGGGAAAGTAGAATTAGGATTAGCAATAAATGAAATAAATATACATACATCCATAAATAATGAAGTAAATTGAGGGTAAAAAAAAATCATTTCACAATGGAAAAGAAAAATGATGATAAATTACAATGGGATAGAATGAAATCAGGTTTTTTTTTTTCCTTTTTTTTTTTCCATCAATATAACAAAGTCATTAAAATTTGAAAATTTTTATTTGAATTCTTTGTCGTTTCATTTTTTTTTTTTTTTTTACCCATAATACATAAGTTAATTGTAATTTGATAAAAGTTAAACTGAAGTTATTATAAAATTATCTTAGCAAAGTTAATAAAAATTATTATTTTATAATAAAACATATTAATAAAGAGATCAGTTAAGAGGAAGAGGAGAGAGATGAGAGTAAAATGTATTTGCTATTGAAGAGAATACTTATTTAATCATGCTAATTATTTTCAAATTATTATTAATTAATTAAGTAAACGAATATATTCTCTTTCTAATCACTACTGATAATCAATTAGAATTAGCAATTAAAATGAATATTTTATTCATTAACATAAAAATTTAACAATTACTAATAAACTTTCCATTCTTTTCTCCTTTTTTTTTTTCCTTTTTTTTTCTGCTTCCTATTCAAATTGACAAATATGAGAATGAAATAGACAAATTCTAAGCTTAAAATTGATTTATAAGCTTATTGCTTCATGTCTTTGCACAAACACTGAACATAAAATGATGACAGTGTGTGTTTCTGTATGTCTCCCTCTATATGCATGTGTCGGTGAATGTTCTATGTTACCCATCCACTTTCTCGGGTATCTTTCTTTCTACCCATCCTTTTCCCATCAGTATAAACGTTTGCTTAAAACATACAATAGTTACTGGAGGCGTGTAACAATCAACAAAAATCATTTCGCACTCTATCGTGTCTAAGAGTGTTGTATGTTTGTGTTTGTTTATCTGATAGATTTGATATGAATTAGATAGAAATACATCAAATATAAATACAATATAAAATATAAATACATAATACAAAATATACATATACATACATATATATATAAATAATTTAAAATTTGTAATCAAATATAAATGTATGATAAAAATATAGAAAATATAAGTATAGATGTATTATACAAAATGCAAATATTGGAAAACATAAAACATAAATATGTAATATAAAATGCAAATACATAATTTAAAAATATAATTAAATATAAATATATAAATATACCATGTGAAAAGGAAGTACTAAAAAAATATAAAGCATAAATATGTAATATATAAATATATAATTTAAAATTATGATCAAATATACATAAAATGTAAATATAGAAAAATATGAAGCATAAATATATAATATGAAATGTAAATATATAATTTAAAATTATGATCAAATATAAATACATAAAATGTAAATGGACTATATAAAATGCAAATATGAAAGAAAAAATGAAGCATAATATAAATTATATACTTATAATTTTAAAATATAATCAAAATACAAATACATAATATAAATACATAAAATATAAATGTAGATATATTATCTAAAATAAAAATATAGAAAAGCATAAAACACAAATATATAATATAAAATAAGAACATACAATATAAAAATATATTTAAAAAATGAAATAAAAAATAAATAATACAAAATATAAGTTTGAAAAGTGTGAAATATTAATATAATATAAAATGATTTAATACAATATTAATACAAAATGTAGATGTTTAAAAAAAAAAAAAAAAAGTTATAATAATTTTACCTTTTTATGTATTGTTTTTTTTTATATATATCTTTTTTTTTTTTTTTCATTTTCTTTTTTTTATTTCTCATCACTGATATTATTTTCACAAATTTTACGATCATACTGTAATCTGATACATTTCGATCTTAGTAATGCACTTAAACATTTATCAAAAGCTTTAATAATAAAAATAAAAAATTTTTTTTTTCGTTTTTGTTTTTTATTTTGAGCCATTTGAAATGTGATCAAATCATATGAACAAACAAACGTGATATAATAATATTATTGTTTAAAATTGAACAATATTGAGATAGGCGGATATGATAATCAGCTGGCATTATATGATAAAAATATTATCACCAATAACCAACTGACAAACAAATAAGCGAATATGAGAAGAAATAATTGAACAAATATCTATTAGAAAAGATTATTCGAGACAAAACTTAAACAAATATTCATTGGAAAAGATTAGTTCAGATAAAAATTATAATTGATAAAAAGAAAAAAAATTTAATTATTATCATTTGAAGAATGTATATAGTAACTAAATAGAAGATAAATGAAATGAAATGAAGAAAAGTTTGCTTGCTATGATTTGAAGAAGAGATTAAAACTGAATCATATCAATTCAGTAAGCAAATATAAGTTTCAAAAAGGAAAAGAACGAAAAAAAAAAGAGAAAGAGTTCATATCTAATTAATTAAAATTTTTATTTTTAATTTTGGAATAATATTAATAAAATTTCAACCCTTGAAAATATTGTCACGAAAATTAAAACTATGGCATATGTACATATTTTTTGCTTCTCTTCTTTTTTTTTTTGCATAATCATATAATATCAATAGAAAGGAAAGAAAAATGGAAAAAAGTGGAAAAAAAAAAAATAAAAGAAATTATAATTGAATAGGCTTAGATATAACGAGCAATTTACTGAAATCCTTTTAATAATTTTAATTATTATCAATACTCATATTCGATTAACCATTACAAGTGCTTTTGAATGATATATTTGAAAGAAAGTTGTAGATAAACTTATTTTGCACTATTTATGACTGATTAAATGTTTGTATTACATTGTATTGCATTCTAATAGATTAAAATATGACATAAATAATAATAATAAAAGTAAATAAATTAATATAAAAGGCAAATTAATAAAGAATAAAAAAAAAAAAAAAAACTTTACAACTAAGCAATAAATTGATGTGAAATTAAATATTTTCCAAGCATTGGATCGAATTTAATTTGCTTATTGTTATTAATATTTTTTTGCAATATTAGCATTAGGGATAAGTTTACAAAATGAATCAGTTTCTAAAAATGACAATCATTTATTCTTCACTTATTTTAATCCACCTTTAACAGTTAAACTTTTTGATAAAGAATTCTTTCTCCTACTTCTTTTTTTTGCTGATCAAAATTG